TTGTTTCCACTGATCGACGACTGGCCGTCGACAGTCTCTTCAAGTGCTCGCGCCCGAAACTTATACATGAATGGAAACTCCAGTAGAAATGGACAGATCCAAAACCAAGTCCTCGAAAATTGATATGGATTATGCTCATGTGACAAGGAATGGAGTCACGAAACCACGTAAGGACTGCTCAGGCAAGAGATGGGATCTGTTGGCACAACACCACCTGAATAGCGGAAGTTTCTCTGACTGGTCTCAATGGTACTTAGTATTCTGGTGATCCTAGCTTCATATTGTTCCAGGCTTCGCGTCGTCGACCGCAGTTGACCCCTTAATCCGATACCGATCCGAAGCGAGATCACAGCACACCGCCCAAAACCCCAGCTGAACGACGATAAGATTCCAAGCCAATCTTGATCCCCATGCATCCAGCTCAGGCCATTCTCTTGGTACCGTCGCCGTCCCCTTTCTCGTCTAAATCACATCTTCGGGATGTCCTTCTTGGGAGAGTAGACCCAGGGAACGACCACTAAACCCACAACGTCAGTTTTTCATTCTCCTGTGCCTCTTGCTCTTGACTCATGGCCTCTCATGGATCATCGGGAAGACAAAAAGACTTACTGGCGTAGACCTTGTCGTCGCGGTACAGCAGACGGATGCGGTTCGTGCCGTCGTCCTCGGCGACGATGATCTCGACGTCCTTGCCGTGCTTGGCTAGGATCTCCTGGACATCCTTCTGGATGACGGTGGCGCGGGTGAAGAAATGCTTGAGCTCGTCGTCCATTTCTGCCTGTCTTATGGGGGGGAGAGAGGTTGTTCTGGTATGTGGTTGAGATTTGGTTTCGGTGATGTGAATATTTGCTGGCGGGTTGTTTGGCTTGGGAATTGTTTGGTGGAAGATTTGAAGACAACCGCAGGGCAAGCAGAATTTTCTGATTGTTCTTTCGAAACAAAACGTCGAAAGAGAGGAAGGGGCTTGGTCTGGTTTGAGGGCGGGTGCACTCGCCGAGGGGAGATTCACAAGGCGGCACCCGTTGAGAGATGGATTTGAGGGGACTCGGGATGGGAGGCAGTTGATACTCGAGCGGCTTTGGGGAAGATGATCGGTCGCAGGAAGCGGTCAAGCTTGACTGCGGGTCGAGGAGATCAAGAATACCACCGGTTTCTTCCAAGTCGTTTAAGGCTGGTAATATTGCCCCAGCTTATAGTTCATCGGTGATCTGGTACAAATGCTATCAAGGCATGATGCCATGTGAAGGAAGACAGAGCCCTTCACCCATGGGACAAGGGGGTTGCAAAGACAAAGGGAAGCCATATAACAAATGAGAGTTCTCAGACACAACCTCAAATGCTAATAATACTTAGAACATACTGCCAAGAGCATGATTCCCTATGTTCATTATCAAGAAGTGTTGGTATTGGTTTTCTCCGATTTACGCTTCACCCACCATACGCCTGCCTAGAGATTATCTCGAGTGTTTTGAGATGAAATCCACAAAGATGATGACCCAGCCTCAGGTATCCTTGATGCGAGAATTCTCCTGTCCAAAGTCAAAGTTTCAAGCTCTCTACCAAATCCAAGAGTGAACTGCTCCGTATCCCAATGGCATGAGCACCCGTCAACCGCTTCCACTGGGCGAAGGACCAAGATTCATAGTCGCCTGAAAAGACGGGTCTAGCTGCAGAGACGAATCTTGCCCTGACCCAAGATCGAACCCGTCTTGCGCCTGGTTTGGATCCCCAGCAGACCCATCCGGCCAGTTCATCGTCATAGTAGCCCAGAGATCGTGATACACCGGCTGACCATTCACTATGGTGGAAGCTCCGTTCGGCATCTGCTGCGCCAAGCCATGCGGTCCATTCCGGTTGAAATCTTGATCCCAGATCGGAAAATACGGGTCCAAAGTCCCATCAAACATCGGACACCCTCGAACGGTCCTCGGTAGCTTGTTCACCGGCGTTTCGATGTTCGCCACGCGGGCCTCGTACTTGCGCTTGATCACCGCGAAGATGACTTTGCTCGCAGACAAGACATCCATAGTTTTCGTCGCAGGGGTGAGCTCCTCATGATTTGCCGACAGCCTCGTCAAGTAGGAGTCGAACTGCAGCTGCTCGCGGGCGCGCGCGTGATCCCATTCCGGACACAGTGGCAGAGGAAAGGAGACGCGGATGGCGACAATGACCCCTTGGATGAAGCGGCCCCAGTCTATTGAGGCGAAGTAAATAAAGTCCAACTTGTCCAGGGTCAGAATGTAGTCGAAGAAGCTGCGGAGTAGGGTGAGAATCTTTTGGAGGCGGCTGACGGGCATGGGAGGGCCGAGATCGCTATCGCCAATTTTTGATGTCGAACGGAGCTGGAAGATTGGGGCTGAGAGGAGATAGATCTCTGTGAAGAAATTTGCGATGGTCATTGAATCTTTTCGCGGTTAACACATGTCTGTATCAAAAGGAGCAGGAAGCTTACGTTGATCGTTGAGACTACTGGGTATGTTGCCCTGCCACTCCCTAAACTGGCTTTCAAGACCCAAGTGCATAAAGTGTACTTGCTGCTTGACCTGCTCAGAGTTCGGCCTGACTTTTGCCAGCTCTGTCGCCTCCTCGACGATATGTTGCAGGCGAGCCAACCAAGCGAGCATATGATCGCCCTTGAGTGCGGAGGAGTGCTCGAGTATGTCACAGCATGTGCCGGTCCAGGAGGTGTACTGGAGCGCCGACGTGTTTGCCCAGCCGGTTGCAAACCTAGCATCGGTCAGAGAGGTTTTGCGGAAGTACTGTAAGAAAGGCAAGACGTGCGCTGAGATGAGATAGAAGCAGGCGAGGTAAGCGCGGATGCCATCGAGCCGATCTGGGGTGACGGGCGACGCGGCGGTGACGCCTGAAGGCGGGTCGACGAGCTCGAGATCGTGCAGTATCTCGGCGGCCATGCGGACGTATTGAAATGCCTGCTTGCTCTTTGGGCGAAGATGAAATGGATACCTGGGTCTGTAAGTGTATATCCAAAGTCAGCTAGATGAAGGTGGCCTACCATGCTGTGTAGATCAGGAGGCCTTGAAGGAGCTCCAATGTCCGCTCGCCGCCAGCAACGAACTTGAGGCCAAGAATCTTGCGGAACTCTTCATCGTAAAGCGTGTGCCCTTGTAATGCACTGGAACCTGATGCTGTCGCTAGGATGGCGAGAAGAAGGAACGGTTTCGTCTTTGATAGTGATGTGACGGTGGCATCAGGTGGTAGAGCGACACACGGAAAGTTCTTGAGCATGGTCCGGAAGGTCTGCAATAGTTTCTCGGCCGAGTCTAGGTTGAACTGAGGCTTCAAACCGAAGCTCGATACCGAGACGGAGGGTCCTGACGAGGGCGGTGAAGAAATAGTAGAATGCGAGCCGCTGCCAGAGCCGCTGAGGCCAAACATCATGTCAATCGAGTCCTGGTCGGAGTCCAACGGTAAGAGTTCCTCCATATACCGCTCGTGACGCGCGGCGAGACCGTCAACATCATCAGGCTCTTCCAACTGGGGCATCTCAAAGTCGATGCTAAAAGTCTTGGAAGGGCCTGGTGGAGGAGGTGGCCGCGGAGCGTCCTGGTTCCTGTCAAAGAATGAGCATGGGGACAAAGGTTCCGATAGTGCCAAGATGACGGGATACGACCGCAATTGAAGGATTCGACAAGGGGAACGGGATACTCACAGTTTGGATTGACGTGGCCGGCGTGTTCTTGGGCCGGTACGAAAGACGCATTCTCGCTTGAATTCCAGACACCTAATTCGATCGGCCAACGGGTCAGTATGCACATGGACTTATACGCCGAAGTAGATCGGAAGATAGCATCTCGTCTAGCGAAGACGGAGTGGACACACACACCTTCGACATATCCCAGTCTGCACACTAGGCTGGCACTTCACCTTGGCTGCTCTACAGGCCTCGCAGGCGTTCGTGACCCTCTGTCGCGGGGGCGCATTGCTGCTGCCTGTGCCTTCAGGGTCGACATTTGATTCCATCGCGATGGATGAGGAGTGAGGGAGGGTCCAGAAGGAACCGGCGGGGTCGGAAGGGTGGACGAGCCGGATAACAGCGTGGGGAGCAGGACTGACAGCGGTTCTGGTACTTGGGGTCGGGTCCAGCCAGCAGAACGGGAAGAAAGGACGAGGGACGATATCAATTGAGTCGCCGGGTCCGGACGAAGAGGGAGTTAAAGCCGTTGGACGCTTGGACAGCCGGGCCAGCCCCGATTGACGAGGCGATGGCACGAGTGGTTTTGAGGGTATTCCTTGTCTGCCGGGTTCTCGTCGACGCTGCTCAATGACCTGAGCGTCGCAGCGGCGAATGAACGATTGCTTTCAAAGCTCCACGCGTCTAGGGGTACGCAGCAGGCATCCGTCTAATGAGACATCGCGGTGACGGGAGGTCAGCGAAGGACAATGGGATAAGAGCGACCAATGATGTTCCGGTGACCGTCGGATGTTGGCGATTGGCTGGACGTAACAAACGTCCTCTGGGGAAGAGACGTACGTCGCGCTAATTCGACTCCGCTATTAGGGCGACGGCCAGGGGCCTCGACCGCTTGCAGGCCGACTCTGGACCCTGAGGTGGTGCACGCCGTGCACCTTTCATCTGCAACGACGTCTGAGGATAAGTTCCGAACCACTTCGGAGTGTTGGGTCGCACAGGCACAGCCAAAGACAATCATATCCCCTGAAATACGACCCAGCTGACGGGTAAGCGGGAACCCCGTTTGAGAGTTGAGTGAGAGCTTGACTTTGTCTCCTGGTTGTTTGAGGCCCGAGTCATTCATTTAGTGGCAACAGGTGGAATCCACTATTTCTCAGTTTGCATCCGAATAGCTTCATGTTTACTCTCAGTTCCACAAGGATGAAATTCTTACGACGGAACGGCAATTCAAAACCCACCGATGGTGACAATGGAGACAGAGTCTTGTAATCGAAATCATATCTTATGGTATGCTATTCGACTTCAGCCGCTGACGTGACTGGGCTTAACGAAGGATGCATCATTACTACTACTGTGTGTCCTTGATGTCGGGGTTGTTGCCCTTGAAGATGCGCTCGTACGCATCATCCAGTCCCCATACAAATTTGGAAATGTCATTGACATGGTACTTGGTCTTCTCATCGTTGTCAAAAACCAAGTGCTCGCCCTGTGTGTCGAGATCGATGCCCAGGCCCTTCCAGTTGGGAATATGCACACCTTCGCGATGCGCTTGGAAATCTGAGCTCGCGCATCGTGACGAGCAGTAAACCGTGCTTTGACCCAGCTGCTCCGCGCACTCCTCGCAGATAACGGCTTCTTCTCCGCTGCCGCCCATCTCCTCATCCTCGTCCTTAAGTTGGATGCAGCCTTCGCCGGCAGCGCAGCTATGAGCGCTGTTGAGGTGCTCGTCCTTTCTGCCAGTCAGCTTCTTCTACTTCTGCCTTGTGGGCAGCATAACTTACGTATCCCTCCTCGTAACATTTCTCCGAGTCAAAGACCGTCCTCTTAGTCAGGCTCAACTCGGCAAAAACGAGACACAACGGGCATGCCAAAACGTCCTCTGGAGACACCTTGCCCGAGCATACATGGCATGGGGGAAGGTCATAGAGTTCTTTATTGACCTGCGGACCTTGAGGAGGAGGCTGCTGCCGCTTCTGAGCTTTAAGGATCTTATCCTGCTCATGTGCCGCCTGCGCCCTCTTGAGCTCGTTAAGCGTCCGTTTGTGCCTATCCATGTTGCCGGACGCCTGTGACCTTGCTGGCCTGTCAGCCTCAATCTGAGCCATAACTTCTTCAATGTCTGAACCAGATCGTAGCTTCTCCACGTATTTCGTGCAGGACGGCGGAACTTCGCCTGTCTTTGGATCACGGAAGAAGACGTCGATGAGGACGTCGTTCTCCTTCTCCGAGGGAAGATTGTCAAACTTTGAAGCCAAATCCTCGAGTTTCGGCGCGTCGTCAACGCCCCTGTTGACAGCCCGGCGGACGTCCTCGACAAGAGTGGCGGTTGGCTTCTCTCCGTCCTCCAATGCCGCCTGAAAGTTGGCCCTGCTCATCGCGCCCTCGGCGGTGCGGCCTGCTGCGGTTCTAGGCAGGGTCTCGCGGTACTGTTTTGCCTTCTCCTTGTCGATGCGCGCCTCAATCGCCTTGAGATCTTCTGTGAAGTCCTTCAATTTTGCGAACAGATTGTCGAGGTCGCTCAAGAATGCGGTGTTGTTGGAGAACCACTCGTCCTTGGAGTCGAGGTATCTGCTTCTCATCGTCTGCACCACTTCTCCATAACAGTCTTTGCAATGCGCAACGTGGGCCTTTCCATGTTCCTTGGCACATTTCAATTTTATGCTTTCGGCTGATTCGACCGCCTCCTTGTCCCTCCTCCGCTTGTCTTGCAACGCCTTGATCTTGCTCATAGCGACTGCCGTTGCTGGGGCGACAATGGCGATCTGAATGTGTTGATGCTGAGGTGTATGCCCTGACCGATTCTTGAACAGCTGTGGATTACGGCCACCAAAAATTGATAAGATTGAGTGCAATGGTAAAAACGGGGGTAGCTCGGGTTTATGGATGAAGTCTGTTTCTTTGAGAAGTTGAATGTGAAATTCAGAGAACCAAGAGGTCCGTGGTCGAGGTGAAGTGGATTCTCAGAGCAACCAAGGTCTGGTGCACGGTGCTTCCCTGCCATTTCGGTGAAGATCAGCCGAGCTTCAGCCGGCGCATCCATGGCAAGGTCCGGTCCTTTCATCTGCCTTGAATCTGAACTTTACGGAGTCAACACAAACATCACACTTATCAAGACAGGACAACATGGTTAGTTCACTTCTTCCCTGATATCGCAATGTTGCGCTAATGATACGTTTGATAGGCCGACAAGCTCCGCAACCAGCAAGAACTCGAGCGCCTGCAGGCCAAGTATATTGGCACAGGACACCCCGACACCACGAGTTGGGAATGGAAGACCAATATCTACCGCGACACCTACTCCTCTATTGCCGGCCACCCACCCATGCTCTCCTACATGGCTTTGGCGGAGAATGAGCCCACGCAGCTGCTGAGGGCCAGACTGATTCGGGTACGTTCACCCTCTCGGGATAGCTCGTTCGAAATACAATATACAGTCTTGCTAACGTGTTGCCAGAAAATGATGCAACCAGCTGGTCCGCCACCAGTACGCGAAGATTAACCATCCACCGTACCATCATGTCTGGGTTTTGCAATTGGGAGACGAGAAAACGGCGTTGGGGACATGCTCATTGGGATCATAAAGGAGGGCACAGATACCCTTGATTAATCATTGCGAACAAAGGCTATTCATAAACGCGTAAGCTTGGAATGCTGCGTTCCACTGGGTATTCTTTACAACCTCTTCGACATACGCCCTTACACCACTCGTGCTCATGTCCATCATCGCGACGGCCCCGGCTCTGGAGCCTCCGACATGTCCACATCACCCTCTCCGTCCTCGCCTTGGATGCCCAAACTGGCGCCTATCTTTCTCTCAAGCGATTCATCTGCCTGCTCCCCGTATACAGTGCGCACCAAACCAGCGACGCCATCGATACCCATCTCCTCCTGTCCCCGCGGCCCGACAAGCCAGGTGATATCCTCGCTACCGTCGTTCGCCTGTGACGCCGGATTCTTCTGCACCTTGCGCACAACATAGCCCTGGGCCTGCATCCGCTTCAGAATATCCTCTGTCTTTTCCGCAGCGACGTTGGCTTCGGCATTGACGCGATTGAGGTAGCGCCGCAGCTTTTGGTCGGACAGCTCGCCGCTAGACAGCATGATTATGGATATGATGAGGGTGTAGAAGCCAATATACGAAGACTCGTTCTCGGCGCTGGGTGCCTTTGTAGGTGCGATAATCGTGGAGGTGCGGTATTTGGCAGGTAGTGTCGAGGAGAGGACGAAGACGCCGGAGCTGGTCTTGGCTTGGGAGCCGGACTTTAATGCTGCAAGGCGTTAGCATTCGCCGCAACTAGAGACGATCGGAAAGCATTCTGTAGGCATACCCTGACGCTTCTCTGCCATTGTAAACTTTTCCTTAACCGCCAGCTCTCGCAGCTCCATACCCCAGACTGTGCGGAGCTGCGATTGCGCCAAGTCGAAGACTTTCCTGAATGATCTTCCCTGGTCTCCAAGGACTGGCAGAACTGTCAGTTGCCATCGATGCCGTGCCCAAACGATAGTTTTCCTTACCTCGCTCCTTGATGCCCTCACGGCGGATCGGAGTTCGTGAAAATTCGCACGCAAGCACATAGCGCACCAACTTCTTGGCAAGCTGATCCTCCGGGGTGGCCTCGGCCTCACCGTTCTCCTCGTCCCCATATTCTTCTGCATCTTCGGAATCGTCGTGCGCGCGGCGTTGTCTACGTGCCGGGGCCTCTTCTTCAGACTCGTCTTCGACCTGCTGGTTGTCAGCTGTGCCTTCTTTGACCATCAGTGCGTGCCGCGGGGCATACCTGTCTTCTGCGTCGTTGTGTAGGAGGCATCTTGTCTGCGTGAATAATGTAGCTGAATGAGAATTATGTATATCCGCACAAGCCCATCCAGGAGGTATATATCGTTTCAAGAATGCAATCGAAGAAGATCCGATTCGTTGCGCAAGGTTTAGCCACGAAATGATGATCTAGACGCGCTGGGACGCGATTTTGGCAGGCGCACTTTACTTCGCGATCCACTTATCTAATCTCTTATCTTATCAGGTACCGTGCAGTCGCAAAATTTGGGAGCTTTGGCTCGTCATGTCCCAACATTCGTCAAAGGCTCGAATCACTTGTCCCTAACCTTCATTGGCGGGCGCCTTTCTTCCAAATGATTTCTCGAGCAGTTCTTGCTCGAAGTATATGCCTGCGATGCCAGTTGCGACTCCTCGACCGCCCCAGGGCTCTCAGCTCCCACCGAGTGGCACCTTTACGATCCGAGTTCCTCCAGCGACGGCATTATAGTAGTCCCGAGTCTGCATGGGATCGCCTCGAGGCGGACTCGCAAACGCAAGAAGAAGAGAAGGGTGGAGAGAAACTAGGAAGGAATCGAGAGCAAACCAAGGTCAAAAGTGGTCTCGACGAGCATATTGGACGACGTCAAGACCCCGCACCTGTAGAAGACGACATAGCATCGAGTAGCAAGGACGAGAACGAGCCCCCCGCGGCGAAATCAGATGGGCCTCTGTTGTTCAAGAAAACATGGCAGGATAGAGGGGACATCAGAAGAATGAGCGGCCGTGTGGTGAAACTCAAGCATGCTGTGCTTCCTGGCAACGCGCTGGGCAAGGTTGCCAGAGCGGTCATCATGCGCGATTCGAATAGGGCCGTCCGCAAGCTGCCCGTCGAGCATATGGCCGCAGAGAAGCAAGTGAATCTTGCTGCAGACTTGGAGAGACAGGCGCAAGAGCTCACAGAGGAGCAATCGCTGGCCAACATTGAGGAGCTGCGTCCCAGCGACTCCATCCTCTACAGGCACGAGTTTGATGAGCTGCTACGGAACTTGCTGAAGGGCTTCACAGTCTCTCAGCTGAAGGCTTATCTTCTGGTTGCGAGCAAGACTGCTCTGAAGAGCCCTGAACCCAAGGAACAGCCGATGTACAGCATTCTTAGAGGCACCAAATGCGAGCCTTGGGCGCCGTTGCGAAAGCTCAAGATTACTGGGTCACCCAAGGAAAGAATTGGATTAACTCTGTTGACGGAGGCTTGGGGCCTTCAGATCAGAGAGTACCTCGATGGTAAAGGTGTATTCAATCCCAAAATTGCCACGCGATTCCTGCGTATGCTTTCAAGTAAGTAACAGTAATCTGACACGTGCCTGGCAGATCATTGACTGACCCATTACAGGAGAAAAGAAGCGCCTCGACGCCATCAGAAGGACGTATCTTGATGCGGAAGAGAAGATTCTTATCGGGCAATCAAGTATTAAGGTCATCGCCACAAAGGCTAAGACAGACACCATTATGAAGGAATTGGAACAGGCGGCCAGGGATATGGTTGTTCAAACCATCAACGACGTTTTTTGGGTACCCAATGATGACGAGGTCGTCACGCTTTTGGAGCATTTAGGCCAGCTCACGAGCACCTTGATCAATCACAAGCCCAAAGAAAAGATTGTGGGTAATCATTGCCAACTGTAAAGGCGACTGTACTGACCAGAAGAATCAGATCGAGGTGGCATGGTTCCGCGACGGGCCCGAGCAAAGAGGCCAAGAACGCCGTGCCGACGTCGTTCAACGTCTCCTGCTCACCGCACTCTGGCCCAAACAAGAAACTGTATACCTCAAGGGTCCGAAAGACACTGAATGCCGACTCATTCCTATGGTGCTTGGGCGCGAGAGGTTTTCATGGGTGGACAAGTTGATTCAATGGTCTCGCTGGGCGAAACCAGTCAGCCGTGACTCCGATCCTGAATCCCGCATCTCACTGGAAGAGCGCGACGTCCTACGCAAGCCCGTCGAGGCACCGCCGGGACAGTCAGAATTTCCTGGGACTAGCAAAGCATACACCGCAACCGCCGCCAGCTTCGGTCACATTCTGCACAAGAATGCCGACGCCTTCAACGTGGCCGCTGCCACCGATCCCAGTCCACACATCTTTTCTCCCACCTCTCCTCCTCCCGCCAGCCTTGTTGCCCTGTCCCAGAGTCTCAACTCATCCAAACCCGTCACCACCTCACTCGTCCTCACCTTCCGCTCCCTCCCGTCCGTCAACGACTTAAAACCTAATAAGTCCAATGAGTCCGCTAAGTTGGAAACCGGTCGTCCCGACCTTCTCGAGCTGCAACTCACGATACCCGATGACCTACCAGAAGGGCCTCTCACGTGGGACTCATGCCCGAAGCGCCTCGTCGTGGTCGCGGATCAACACCACACCGACGTCTCCTTACCGGATCAACCCGTCGATCTGCGCATCTCCCAGACCGATCTGAGGGTCATTTCCGCCTCTGCTCTCGACGACTCCCCCTTCCGCGAGTACATCAACACCGCCGAACTCGACCTCCTCGCGGGACGGCTCGGCCCTCCCCCAATGATACGCATCGCGGACACGCCCTTCAATCCGCAAATCAAGAACCCCTCAGAACCGACGGACTACATGTTCGCGGGTCTGGAGATGCGCCGCACGCTGGAGGCAGACTACCAAGGGTACAAGCTTCTGTACACGAGTGTCCAGGCCGGTCACCACGGCGGTCGGCGCGCAGAGATGGTTCTCGAGGCGCAGCCTGCTGATCCATTTCTGCCCCCAGAGGAGCAAGACCTCCATGCTGCGAGGTTCCTGAGCCTGGCCAAGGACCTGGCTCAGGGCAAGGTGGTGAAGTGGGTGGGAGAGGTCGATGCTGAGGCGGAGAGCCAAAGGAGGTTAGCTGCCGCCGAGCCTGTGGCAGAGCCAGAGGGTTCGGACAGCAGCATGTAAGATGAAGTGAATGGTCAAAGTCAAGCTGTAATATGTATTTTATGTATAACATACAAACAAGCCTTGTAGAAAACATCAAGAGTTTATGATTCCTCTTTCTCGCAACGATATGTACCTGGTCTTTCGAGGGATTGAGAGGAAACCCCAACCCGGAAAAGGCCTGCCTTGCTACGTGCTTCAAACGGCGCCAATCCCAGCTCAATTTACCAGCCGTGAGCCACAGCCCGGGCAGGCGTCTCAAGAGGGATTTTCCCTAGGCGGGAAAGTAGGAGGCAAACCGATCCGCACGTCAAGACAACAGCACCACGACCAGATATTCATAGCGTTGGAAATCCTCACGGTCAAATAACACCGATAGAAGTATCACAACACCAGATCACAGGCGAGGGGGCACGGCAGTTTAACTTGGGAATCACTTCTAGGACTCTATTTTTGGTGCTAACTAAGCACGTATCATGAGAAGTTTTTTGACGTAATCATCCATCCTTCCTCCCGATATTCGTGCTCCGAGCCATATCATGTGTCCTCATGCCACGCAAAGGGAATTCGTAAAGCCGTAGAAGTGAGTGTCCATAGCTGGTGTGCCACGGAAGAACTCAGAACCCAACCCTGGTGAGTCAAGTAACTTATTTCTTGGCAGCCTTGGCAGCAGACTTGGTGACCTGTTGGTGAGAGTGTTAGATCATAACATGCAACGAAGAGGGATGAGGGATTGTGAACATACCTTGCCGGAACCACCAGCAGACTTGTCGACGGACTTGATGACACCGACAGCGACGGTCTGACGCATGTCACGGACGGCGAAACGGCCCAGAGGGGGGTAGTCGGTGAAGGGCTCGACGCACATGGGCTTGGAGGGAACCATCTTGACGATGGCGGCGTCACCGGACTTGATGAACTTGGGGTTGTTCTCAACGGACTTGCCGGTACGTCTGTCAATCTTCTCGAGGATCTCGGAGAACTTGCAGGCAATGTGGGCAGTGTGGCAGTCAAGGACGGGGGCGTAGCCAGCACCGACCTGACCGGGGTGGTTGAGAACGATGACCTGGGCGTTGAAGGAAGCAGCGCCGGCAGGGGGGTCGTTCTTGGAGTCACCGGCGACATTGCCACGGCGAATGTCCTTGACGGAGACGTTCTTCACGTTGAAACCAACGTTGTCACCGGGGACACCCTCAGTAAGCTGCTCGTGGTGCATCTCGACGGACTTGACTTCAGTGGTGACGTTGGCAGGAGCGAAGGTGACGACCATGCCGGGCTTGAGGATACCGGTCTCGATACGGCCGACGGGCACAGTGCCAATACCACCGATCTTGTAGACATCCTGGAGGGGAAGACGGAGGGGCTTGTCGGTGGGACGCTTGGGGGGCTCGATGGAGTCAATGGCCTCGAGGAGGGTCTTGCCGGTGACCTTGCCACCCTTGCCCTCCTTCTCCCAGCCCTTGTACCAAGAAGCGTTGGTGGTGGGGGCAAGCATGTTGTCGCCGTGGAAGCCGGAGATGGGGACGAAGGCAACGGTCTTGGGGTTGTAGCCGACCTTCTTGATGAAGTTGGAGGTCTCCTTGATGATCTCCTGGTAACGGTCCTCAGACCACTTGGTGGTGTCCATCTTGTTGATGGCGACGATGAGCTGCTTGACACCGAGGGTGTAGGCGAGCAGAGCGTGCTCACGGGTCTGGCCATCCTTGGAGATACCAGCCTCGAACTCACCAGTACCGGCAGCGATAATGAGGATAGCGCAGTCGGCCTGGGAAGTACCAGTGATCATGTTCTTGATGAAGTCACGGTGACCGGGAGCGTCTGAGTGATGTGTCAGTGCGTGCCTTGACAAAAATTTGCGCGCGGAAAATTGCGCCTGTCCAGAAGAGTGGTCTTCGGAGAGAGCATTTTCAGCGCAGAGCAGACTTACCAATGACGGTGACATAGTATCTGGGAGTCTCGAACTTCCAGAGAGCAATGTCGATGGTGATACCACGCTCACGCTCGGCCTTGAGCTTGTCAAGAACCCCTGGGAAAAATCAGTATGTTGACAGCATGAGGGGGGAATAAAAGTGGGTCCGGACATGCGTATTTGAATGAACCCTTGCCTATTCGTTTGTTAGTAAACTCGCAAATCAAGCGAGGATTGGTGTTCTACGAACCAAGCTCAGCCGCCTCCTTCTCGAACTTCTCGATGGTACGCTTGTCGATACCACCGCACTGGTAGATCAAGTGACCAGTGGTGGTCGACTTGCCAGAGTCGACGTGGCCGATGACGACGACGTTGATGTGAGTCTTGTCCTCCTTACCCATTTTGATGGTATTGGATCGAAGAAGTTATGTGTGGTATGTGAAAAAGCTGTTTAGAGAAAGGAAATGTCAGTAGCTGTTGACCCCGCGATGATGTCGCGATCCAAGATACTGTGGAGGGAAACTCACTTTGCAGGTACACTTTCCGTGTGGTATGCTAGACGAAGAGAGAAAGAAAGAAGACGATGAGAAGTTGTGAGGGGTGGAAGAGTTTTTAAAGGATGGGTGGGATGGAGATGGATGGTTGTGGTGGATAGAGGAGGGGAAAAGTTTGTGTCTGAGGTGGACGAGGGTAAGGTGGGCGCTCTAGGAGGGGTTGAAAAGTCTTGCGGCGGGGCAGAGTGGGTCCAGTGCCGCTCGCAGATGAATGCCCTAGAATTGTACCACACGCCAGCGATTTTTTTTATTTATTTTCAGATGAAATTGTGAGTTCTGATTGGCTGTTTGCGACCTTTTTGTGTGAGTTCTCGACGAGGTACCTCTGCGGCGTAGCTGGGTTGTCCCTCTCACGTACCACCCCGCCACTCGACCGACCCCACCAAGGCAACCTCCTACCTCACCTTGAGAAGACCATCTACGAAAGAGCGGTATTGAAGCGCGCCTTCCCCTGGCAACTTGTAAATAGAGAATCTGGCAGGTCTCGTACTTCTCTTTCGGTTTCGACGTGTGTACGGCCGCTCCTGCCCGACCCTGATGTTTAATTGTGAGTCGCGCGACAAGGACCTTCATAGCCCATGATATCACAGACGAGGGGCACCAGAAAAAAAAAGTTGGAGGGGCAATTTCTCGACCGCTGTTCGCGGGGCAACACCTTGCAAACGGGCAGCTACGGTAGCGTGCTGCCGCAGCTGTTCAGCGGCCTCACCTTCCCTTCTCAGCCCCCACTCCAGGGAGCTCCAGACTTTCCGCCGCAGATCCAAGAGGTGATGTCAATTGACCGGCTCCTCTCTGGCCAAAAACAAATCCATCACGATGAATTTTCAGGTCGGGAGCTAGTTGCCCGTGTCGTCTTACGGGAAGGAGGGGCGACTAGGGTCGTCCTGCAGTTTGGCCACCTCACCTCACAGTCCTTCCGATCGACCTCGTCCAGCCGTTTGTGGTCCTTGACCTTCTCCCTCCCCCTTTGCCGTCTCAGACCGCGCGCGCTCCAGACACGCAGCACACACACACAACTTTTTTTTTTCCCTCTCGTGCTTTGTCCCATATGCCAGGCTGCTACGTTTGAGAGACTTGGATGTACTTGTGCGGCGATAAGGCTCCCATGGCAGCCAATTCTGCCCCTCCACCCCTCCTAATCCCTGTCAGTCAGCAAGGTTGCCGCGCAGCCCAACCTGGAACCCCCAGTTGGCAGTGCGTCCCAGGTCTGAGCCCAACTCTTCTTCGGCATGAGTCACGTAGGGATTTTGGCGCTGCTTTGGCACCTCTGGCACTGCTACGGCTGGCTCTCTGGCGCTGGCACCGCTGCGGTCTGCGGCAGAGTGCGACAGACATCATGGTCCATCCTCCCAAAACTCCAAGGCTGCTCCGTGAGGCTGTCCTTGCCTGGGGCCCCTGTGTCTGTTATCCTTCGGCCTAAATACCATGGAAAACTCGAGATCGTCTTCCTAGTGACAGACTGCACGGCCTCGAGATACGCAAATGCTTGTGACGACGTCCTGCAAGACCAGAACCCCCTAGCGCCTCGCCCCCTTATGACCGCACGCCGACCACACCCTGGCTCACACCGAGGACGCATAAGTCCGAAAATGTGGCTGATGGGCGCGGTCGGTGTTGGGTTTGGCGGGCAGCTGGCAATGCGGGGTTCCTCGCAGAAGCGAAAGGGACAGCAACAGAAAAAAAAAAATCTGATCGGTGCTCCTTCACTCGCGAGAAGGGCAGACCGGGGGGTGGCAAGAAGCAAGCAGAACAGAGATCCAGGCCAGGGTGACGTGCAGCACATTAAGCGCCTGCGCCGCCCGACCAGGGGACATGAATTTTTCCCTTTTAGAGGGGCAGTAGCATTGCATGATGCACGTTGCCATGGCGCCGGACCTCCAGGACTATTTTTTCTACTCTGTCCCAATCCCTTGAAACCGAATAACAATTCGATGGGAGGCGAATTCCCGACGCGGGCTGTGGGATCGCCTAGATTGTTGGCGTCTGCTTGAAGCTGACCGCTTTCTTCGAGTCCAAGCCGTCGTGGGACAAAGCAACAAGTGAGGGGTAATTCCTTTCTATGATAAGATAAGAATATGAGACATCTGTTGCAGCCACGTGATCTTGAATACCAAAGTTTGCGCAACTTCATTCTTCTTCTTCCTCTTGAGCGTAGTGTTTTAGACATCATGGATTTTGTTGACCAGTGTTTACATGGCCCAGATGGGAAGTCCGACGAGTGACGTCGAAGACGGCCCCACCCGGGACCGTCCCGATCGTACCACGTGATCTAGTCCAACCAAGACACGGCCCACTGGGCCGGCCAGGCCCGGAGGTAACCCACGGCGACCTCTTCGAAGCTGGGCTCCGGCTGTGACAGGCAATGGATGTAATTTTTCCTCCTCGCCTAATATTTCTCACGGGAGATTGTAGGTTTGCTGGAGGCGTGGCTCACGAGTTTGTTCAATTGGAAAGAGACCGTCTAGTTTTCCTGTATACTCCTTCAATACTCACATTACCGACGACATCGACGACGACGACGACGAAGAAGACGACGAAGACGATAGTAACAACGACGATAGTAAAGCAGAGTAAAGCATATAACCACAGGCACGGTGCCTTGGTTCCTTGAATTCTTTCATATATGACCCACCCCCAGCGTCTGTGCGTTTCCACGAACGGTACAGTGACATACCCTCGTAGCGTGATGTAGGCGGCCCCTCCTCACTTCGACTCTTTGGGACCTTGCTCGGGGTTTCTCTCTGCAACAAGCCGTTTGACATGTTCATGCATCTCGGCGTGAAGCTCCTACCTACAAGTCAGCTTTGTTCTTCGATGGGTCAGGTTCAGGGGTGATGGCAAGAGGTCCAGCTTGATTTACAGTCAGTTTCTTGCTCCTCTCCTCGGCGGTAAGCTCGGGCGGCTTCGACTCTCTGGTCAATGTTAGATTGGAGATTCCCACAGTTCTTCGAGCATTACTTACGCGACGACGGCATCCTTGGCCCTTTTCCGGGCCATCTCCCTTCTTGTCCGGGGGTCTATCCAAGCTTGTTTGGACTGAGCCGCTGCAACACTCTTCGTCAGACAACGTCTCAACGACTAGCGCGTAGAACATGACGAACTCCATTCAGCCACTATGACATTAGTTAGCAAACCGATCACCCAATCTTTGGGCAAGGGACGAACTGACTCTTCTCTCTCTGCCACTCAGGGGTCTGTTCATGTCACGGCTCTGTTGGTTTCATGACTGCATTCCCGTCAGCAGCTAGTCTCATCCAGCACGAACGGCGAGAGGAGATTTCCCATGCACATGACTTACTTTTGTCCCAGTCGACTTCGTCGGAGGCAGTCCGTTCGGAGTTCTGGTCTTTCTCAGGGGCCATGGTTATTGTTATTGGTGATGGTGCTGGAAGAGGGGAATCGAAGAGCAAATTCAGTTGCGATAGGTTTGGGTTTAAATGCTTCTTGGTGGTCTGCTCTTTGATTTGTTCCCTCCATCTAGGAACTCACCTAGAGCCTGCCTTGTATATCCTACAAACCTTCGACGCCTACCGTCCCTCCTCACTTGCATTCACTGCTTGCCCTCCTTCTTACATTCACCCCTTGGCCTCCTTGATTGCCCGCCTTGATTTTCCTGCTTTGTTTTCCTTCTTTACTTTCCTCCCTGTTTCTACTACTTTTTCTCCTTAGGGAGTTTGCGCACGTCCTACCGAAGCCAAGCTATGTCGCCATAATAACCTCATGGGCTTGAACTCCATTCAGCAAGCCCATCACAAGTTCTAAATGTTGATGCAGCATTCAAACATCAGGAGGGACGAGTCACAAAGCAGGTTTGCTTTTTTTTTAAAAAAAATAAAAAAAGAAAAAAAAGAAAAAAAACCAAGGCATCGGCCTTCATTGAGACCTAGCAATTCATCATGTCCGAGAATCTATCGGATGGGCGTCTTATGCCTTTGATATTACTTGGCCTATTTCGGGTTACTTCACCTCTTTCCACGGCGACAAGACAACCGCTTCCTGACTTTGTGGCATACCGAATTATCATCATCCTTTATTCATGATTGCTGTCTAAATGCCCAGTCTAGCACCATGCATAGTACTCATTATCCTCCCATACAGCCTCCCCCTCGCCCTTCCACCGCAAACTCGGTATACTCCCGTCCAACCTCTCATCAAAAACAACCCTCACAGCGCCATCAGTACGATCACTCACCTTCTTCGCCGATGCCGCGACACCATCGTCCGGATTCCACACCAGCACCTTGGCCAGCCCCCAGTTTGAGGCTTCCAGCACCGCGGCATGTAGCAGCGCGGTCACATCAGCCTGAGGGTCTCCCGCCACGCGGAGCACTTTGAGCTTCTTCTCGCGGAAGTCGTGGTCCCAGCAGACCCACGCCTTTCCATCCGCCGTGACGGCCCCGCGGTTGACCACCTCCCGTTTGGCGAGCTCCTTCGCCATGAAGCCGTCCCTGGTGAAGTGCCAGGTGATCTGCGCCGCCGACGGCGCCAACGCGATGTGAGGCTTGCCGTCCGCGGGCAGATTCTCAAACTTCTTCCTGAGCAGGGCGACGTCCTTGTCGCAGAAGGCGGGGACCTCGTCCGCGGCGAGATATCGCACGCCCTCTGGCGGCGTGGGCTGCAACGCCGACGCATCATCTGGGATCAACGACACCTGGAGCGAGGGATAGACCGTCCAGCCCAGCTGCGCGTAGTACACCGTTCCGATGTCGCTGTAGAGAACGCTCGCCTTGGAGTCGGTATCCATAGCTTCCTTGAGCTTGTTCAGGAGAAGCGTAGCCATGCCGTGGCCTCGGTGAGACGGGTTCGTGTACACGGAAGCGATAGCGTAGGCCTTCTCCTCGCGGAAGGCTCCGGAGGCGTCGCGGACGAAGAGAGTCTTGGCGGTTGCTTCGCAGGAGGAGATGATGTGCTGCGGGTCGGCGGGGTCGAAGAGGACGTAATAGGTGCAGTTTTCCGAGAGCTTCGTCTTGGAGAGCGCGGTCTCACGGGTGATGTACGCCTCGAGGGACATGGGCGGGGCCCATGAGACGCCATTGAGGCGCCATGCGGCGTCACGCTGTGCCGGGGTCGCGGAGCCGAACTGTACGTTCTTCTCGGAGCTGGCCTGGGTCGTGACGAGGTCGGCCATGTTGAGAATGCTTGAGGCTGTAGATGAGGGTCGGTCGTGAGGCGGTTTGGTGAGAGGTTTATGGCCGTGGGGTAAAGGTGAGGTTGCAGGTACGCTTCGGTGGCTGCGTTTCAGCTAGGACAACCGACTCTCAGACCTGATGAGAATTTCCTGAAGATGCGAACTCAGAGTCGCAAAAACCAAACCGCTTTCAATATGTCTACAATGTGTATGTAGTAAAGCTGAGGTGAAGTCAACCTGGCAGCAGTTCCAAGGATGGCAGATCGCGGGCTCTCTAGCGGGCTTTGTAAGAGCCAGGGGACCTCCCACGGCGGGGTTAGGGGGCGTGTACCCCACTGTGGCAGCAGCTCGGGAGCTGGGGTATCCTAGAACCACACCCTGCAGTCGAGCTGCGATCCCACACTTCACCACCACCAATACGACTGCGCGAAATCGGGGGACCTGTCCCACGAGGTGCAGCAAACCAGAGGAGATGAGAGAAGAAAAAAAACGCACATTCCCCCGTTGATTGCATAGCTGTGGCTTGCTGCAGCCTCATTTTGAGTGTGCTCTGGGCCATGCAGAATTGATAGTTTGACCGGGGTGATACTCAAAAGGAAACCAGCTTCACATTGGCTAAACTCACTACTAGTCACACGCAGCCAACTGCTTTCTGAGGTTTGTTCTCGACACTCTTGCTTTCAATATCTTTAGGTCATCAGGTGTTTCTTTCCTCCTGTGTCAAGTCTTCTGAATACCCTTCGAGAAACTTTCTTCGCAGCATTGTTATAACCTCATTGCTTGACTACATCCGATATTTCCCCTCATCTCAGGCTCCTCCTGAAGCAAAAGCCTCCACTAGATGCTGGAACCCAATTCCGATCGCCTTCGTAATCCCGTCCGCTACTAGATCCTTATCCTCTGAGAAGGTGTCCTTCCACCGACCGCTCTTCGCAAAATACGTCTTGGCGAGATACACAAACAGGGTCCTGGCATCACCCTCCCTTTCGGGACCCTCCATCCGATAATCCTCCAGGACAGCGGACAGTAATTCCTCGATATGGCTGCAAAACATGACCTGGGTGCCAGGCCTAATAGCGTTTTGCAGTTCATCCCATATCGACATCCTTTGACTTTCTGTCAGCGGCCGTGGCTCAAGCTCCGTCTCATCATCGAACAGGAGCAAATCCAGCTTCTCCTTCAAGCCCGCCTTGATGTCTGTCGGCAGATGTATGTCGACAATATCGATGTGTCTTTGAATTTGCTCCCGAAGAGCATCCATAGACCACTTGTTTCCCGTCCACGTTGAGACAGCAGCAATCCAGTGTTCCGTGTCAGTGTTAGTGAACATTTCCTTCGCCCCACTGTCCTGCCGTTCTTGAGAGCTATCTTGCTCGTTGCTTACGGCGCCGTTTTCTCTCGCTACGTCTGCAACTTTCTTGGCCGCGATCTGGACATGCTCCACCACTTGGTTAAAAGCAATGCCAATCACGGCATAGCGGACTTCTCTCCAAACAGTCTCCCAAAGCAGGCTTTGAATGGTTTCAGACACCTTTTTGTTCTCGTTGAGCTCCAAAATCAGGACATGATGCATGGCATCAGTCGTCGTAAGAGACGGATGTACATCATACTTGTCGTCTAGATTGATGACATCGTCCGTCTTCGCAAAGTCGTCGCTGAACGGGTGAATAAGCGTGACGCTGATAGCCGGCCCGTCCCACGTCTTGGCTATCGCAACAAACTTCTTCACGATGGCAGCTTCGTGTTTGCCGACCGATCCAATGGTGATATACACCATGCACCCACCGAGGGTTGTCACTAAGTGTGTGAAGAACTTCCAGAGGGCACGTGGAGAGTTGTTGGCTTCTTTAAACTGGTCCAGGTCCAGGCCCGCCTGGGCCATCACCTCCGTTTTCTGGAAGACTATCTGGTGAACCAGGGAGGCTATAGCTGACTGCGCGGTCATGCCGCGGGTCCATATGAGATATGCGGAGGGGACATGGGAGGCGAACGTGCGCTGCTGCTTCTTCCAAATCAAGGCATGCTGGGGATCCGGGGCATCGCACTCAGCCTGGATGATCTTGGTCTCGTGGGAGTAGCCGGATGGAACATATTTCTGCTCCAACTTGAACCACTCTATCCACGCTTTCGATGTTGTCGTCTTGTATGTGGACTCCAGCTCCTGGTGGTATCCGGCCTCAAGTTCGAATCCCCGAAAAAGGTTCTTCCTGACTGCTTCGAAAATCGCAGCGTTCGGGTCCTCAGCCATGGCTTCCTGCTGTTAGCCTATGTCTTATATGAGAAACCTTGGCTAGCAGACCTTTGAAGCCTTGGTACATCTGATGTCTTTGCATCGGAAGATCTCTTCGGTAATGAGCCATCGAGTGACTTGACCACACTTGCATGTGTCTAACGTGCATACAAAGATCCGCGTCGTCTTTGATCTCTTGTTGCACCTTTCTCATCTTCGTCAAAAGATCGCCGTATCGCACCTCGAAAGGCTGCAGAAGGTCGACCATCGCCCTTCCTATTCATACGTTAGCCATTGTCTCGAATGCATTGTTCTTTCTACTCACTGAAAGAGCTTTTTTTGAAATCGGTGATGACCTTCTCCAGAAACTCTGCGACGGCTTCGTAGAGCTCGACAGTAAACTCTGTTATTCGTGGGGTCGCGTAGAGCATCGCATACCCCCTGATCCGTTCTAAGCTTCGGCCAATGTCGATAATGACCTCGAATACCTTGGAAAGAGTGTCGGAACTGGTTTTGGACATCTGCGGCATGTTAGCAATTATCTCTGAATACATGATACAGTCCCCTTACAAGCAAGACGAGCTTTATGCCGCCCCATATCAAGGGCAAGCCCGAGAAGTCGGCTTGGGAAAGGATGTCAAAGACTCCTTGGTAGTGATCCAGCGATTTGACGAATCTGGACATTTTCTTCTTGTCCAGGGTACCCTCCTTTGCTTGTTGAACCTGCCTGGCGACCTTATACAGCTCTTTTTTCCCATCTTGGCTCGTGCCTGCGAAACCGCCTTCGTCCTTGACGAACTTCTGGAGTGATAGGACAGCTGCCGTGTATGATGCCTCGGCCTTTCTAGAACAAGCGTCAGTAGCTCGTTTTATGTGTTGAACCTTGCGCTTCGTCTGCTGAGGCTGGTCTTCTGACACTAATGCTGGAAAGGCCTCTTGATGGCTTTGCTATATGCATGCCCGCACATTTTGGAGCGTCTATGGAAATAGGACGGCGCTCAGGG